TGACAAGGTCTCATCCAATGACTAATATTATGTTTTCATGTTAGGGGACTGCCTGGTGATGGCCAAAAGAAGATTCCATTCAGACGGTGGTATGGCAACCTCAGTGAAATGAGATCTATTGTTTCTGACAATGTGCATCAAATTGTTGTAACAGCAACTGCCACAAAGCAGACCCGACATGCCATATATGATGTTTTAAATTTGAACAATCATTGTGTAATTGTGACAGAAAGCCCAGATAGGTCTAACCTTTTCTACTGCTTTCAGTATTTCCAAAAAGGTTTATCTTTGCACCTTCTCTTTGACAGTGTTATTAATGACATTCGCATCAATGATATCACTGCTAAAAGGGTTATCATTTATTGTCAGACAAGAAAGCTATGTGGGCTCTTGTACAAAGTGTTTGAAGTTGCTCTTGGGAGCAAATTCTACAAAGGATTATCCAGCAAACCTACCAAACGACTTGTTGAGATGTACCATGCTGGTACGCCAATTGCAGTTAAGAAACATATCTCTAAGAATTTATCAAAGGCTGATGGACACATCAGAGTTTTAATTGCTACCGTTGCTTTTGGGATGGGAGTTAACTGCAGGAATGTACAATCAATTATACACCTTGGGCCACCTAAAAACATTGAGTGTTATGTCCAAGAGAGTGGCCGTGCTGGTAGAGATGGCAACCAAAGCACCTGGTATTGTGTTTTATAACGGAATGTTGCTGTCACATTGTACCCAAGAAATGAAAGAATTGGTTTTAGATGAAGTTACATGCAGGAGGAAAATTATGATGAAAGCATTTGGACATGATTGCAAGGAATTACAACCAAAACATAATTGTTGTGACAACTGTGTGAAACTATGCCAGTGTATAGAGTGCCCTCCTGATGTGGGACTTAACATACCATCTGAGGATGTATCCCCAAGTGATACCGGTAAGAGGAGATCAGTGATGGATACAGAAAAGGTAATACTAAAGAATAAATTGAAACAATATCATGACAAAGTTCTTCAGGAACATGCAAGATCTATGGCAAATACTGTTTCTATACCATCTGCTATGATTGAGTTTGGTAGCTTACAAATGAGACAAGTCCTTGACAACTGCCACAGAATTTTTTCTCTTGGTGATGTGACAAATCATGTAGATGTATGGAGGAAAAACCAAGCAATTGGTATTCTAAAGGTTGTAAATGATGTCTTTGGTGATATCGATGAAGTCGGCGAATTAGAAGACGACATTGAGATGGATCAAGATTGCCCAAATACATGGAATGAGACTATAGTCCATGAGTCTTCCTTCTCCTCAGTTGCTTATTCCCAAGACTTAGAGGAAATGGATTCTGAATGCACAAGCCATTCACAAGGGTCTGCACATAATTCTAGCAGCTTTCTTATTGAATTAACAAATAATTTAAAATAATTGGCATGCCTATAATGCAAAATCCTTGTTACCGTAATCTTGAATATGAATTGTCAAAGTACTTACACATAATAAACAATGGTAATGGAGCAAATAGGAGTGCTATTATTAATGACAAATGCATTTCATTTAATTAATTAGGAGTTTTAGCTTATAAAACATCATTTAATAACAAATGGATATTCAGCTTATCCATTACAATGTTTACACATACTTGTGAGAGATGGTTTCATCTTTGTAACAAAAATCAGATACACTGAAACAATGGTTGTTATTTATAACAATAATACCAACCTTAATTTGCATATCGCAAAAGTATACGTGATCATTGAAATGCATAATTTGCATACAAGGTTTAAATTCTATTTTACAGGAGGGTAGTTAGGACTTACAAGTTACAAACCCAGTTGACAAACAACTGTGGAATTCACTAAACTTAATCTTCAAGAGAATATTCCGGTTTCAACTGTATGTATATACAAATCATTATCAAATATGCAAATTGCCCATTTCAATGTTTACACAAGTTTCTGAGAGATGTAAATTAGAGTTGGCATTGTTATTGTAATTGGGAGTCACTCTTTTGTGTCTGAATATCATGCTACTGACAAGAAACCATCTCTCACAAGTACATATAAGCATTGCAATGGGTAATTCCCACATGAGGCCGAATCGGTCTATTGTCAATGATGAATGTATAATGAAAAAGTAAAGCCAGTATGGTGACTATTCATCTTGCTCGTCGTCCTGTTGTTATGTTCTTTTTATGTTCATTGATCCACTTGTACATTTTCTGGAGATCAAAACCAGATAGTATGCTTGACTGAAAATTTGTGTAGTGACCATACGATCTTCCTGGTACCCTGGTCAGTGCCTGTTGATCCAAGAGCTCTGAAACGACAGACTTCATGTCTTTCAATGATGATCGTCGAACATGTTTTCCTGAGGCCTTGTATGTTTTAACTTCTGTGTCAAAATTTGCCATCAAAGTTTTGGTCACATCAATGCTTCGGCAAATCCGGTTGATGGACTTCTTACTTGCATTTGAGCCAAGCTTTTTTATTGCTTGCTTGACTGTTTTATTGTAGAACTCCAGGTTCAAATGATGAGAAACATGTCCACCATGCCCAGGTTTCAACTTTGTGAATCTGTTCCAAATCAGTTGGTGTGCTGATCGTGGCGACAAAATTGCATTAATCTGGAACATCATAGACTTCAACTGAATACTTTGTACTTCCTTTGTGTGTTTCAGGTATAGAAGCAGAAACTTCCAACACCTCACAACCCTGCGCCATCCCCCTCTGAAATTGCATCCTGGATATTCAAAATAAGCATGCCAATTTCCTCAATGACTTTGGTAATTGTACATTATCTGCCTGGACTGGATCATCTTCAAAAAATAAGTCCACTGTAGGGTTTTCTTCAGGTACATTAATTGGTGGGTTGTGTTTAGCTTCATGGCTACGCCTGCACTTTCCACTTGAAGCAAAAGTGCTTTTACAGCCTGGATACCGACATTTGTACCGCCCTTCGGGTGTCATATCACTGCGTTGCTTGGTAATTCGTACATCAGCATGCTGACAGGCTGATATAAACCTTTGATGTTTGTCATGATCCAATACATACCTGTAAGAAAAAACAAACTCCAGAAATAAACATCTTGTGAATTAACTTGATATTCAAAAAAAAATCAAGACAACAGAAAAAGTTCGAGTGATATTATGATATTAATATTATAATATCACCTCAGTCTGTTTCTGTTGTCTTAGTTGTTTGTTGTTGTCTTTTATTTTATACCTGTCACATATCTTGGTTGCCAAATCTAGAAATACCTTCTTCTGAGTTGAGCAGGCATTGCCATCAAATGCATTAAGGACATTGGGTGTTTCATCAAACTCAGTAAGGCCAAGCTCTGCATGCATGCAGCTACAATTCTTGACTCAACCTCCAGGGCGAAAAATCTTCTACATGCGTTCACATTTGACTCAACGTCTGCCCGAACATTTCGTCTGTTAATCAAATTTCTATCGCTGTATAGGGTGCATTTATCAACAGCTGATGCTGTGCTGTATAAATGAGAAAATGCAACCTGGAAAGTAAAAATGCAGAAGTATTTTAAAGTAGTTTTCTTATAAACACCGCACAGATACTTTACAACAGATCAATTGATGGTAGTGGTAAGGATTTAATGATCAACCATGACAAAGACACATACCCCAAGACATTTGTTAACACCATGCCAATCTGCCATTTCAAAATACAGGCCATCCAGTCGATCTTTTGGTGTAAAACCATTGATCAATGAATTGTGGGCGTTAACACCACGTTCCACTGTGAGTTGATCTCCCACTATGGCTTGGTCTCCATAATTGCGTTCCATTCCTTCCCCATGGTATGGCACATACTTGTGCAATTCCTTCAAAATTTCATGCATGCCATCTGCACTGTTCTCATTGTGAAACAACACACCAAGGAAAGTCTAAAAATTGGCATGTCAATTGAGTGAATGGAAAACTGGGTGAATAAATTAACTATTATTCTACACATTATGTCCATTCTAAATTCAAAATAATGGTTATACTGAATAAATAAATCATTTTATTGCTCATAATGGTTCGACTGGTGAGAGTGGTCAAGACATTGAGCAGTAAAATGATTTCCTTGTTTGGTATAGCTATTGTTTTGTATTTAATAAAATTTTTCTACTGTTCCAACAATATGTCTTTTCTCCTATGGTATAAGCCAACCCAGTCCCTGTCCCACCCTTACTTTTAATGACTGGCATTTGAATGATTTGTGTGAAAGAACAGACTGTATAATATTTAAAAGATATAAAAATTTTTACAAAAGCATTTTTGCAAGAGCAAAAATGAAAAATTATTGCTGTTATGAAATGTAATGATGCTTGAAATCTGTTTAATTTCAATTTTAAAAATCCATTAATTTTAAAGTCTCCTGTTTAATTAGTTTCTAATTGACGTAGCTCACTTTTTTGTATTACACATTCAAGTATAATGGTTGATGAACAAGGATAACTTTTCTTAGCATACTGGGCATAAGGCGTACAGGTTTGAGTTAGTAAGTTGGAAGATAATAAAAAATTTCATGTTATGTAACTTATTATGTATTATGTACTTAACATGCACCTCACATCACAGACAAACTGAGATATCTCAACAAACAGAAGCAAACAATATGATAATATAATATAGTAACCTTATATGATTTTAGTATATCTTTCAATTTTTGTTCTAATATTTCGTAGATTTAACACATAAAACCAATGAAAAGCAAAAACAGTATGATGATGACTGGCATAAACTTACAGTTTCAGTTGGAGATCTGACTTCAGCACTGAATTGATGAGGAATATGCTGGACAACAACATCTTTTAAAAAGCTCATGCATGGAAGATTGTTGACAACCACTCTCTCAATCAAACTTATATAGTTTTCTCTCTGAGAAGACTGCTCTAAGTGACTTGGAACACACAATCCATTGTACATTTCCCTCAAACCATCCACTGGGGTCATGCTACTAAGATGATTTCCATTAACACGGTTGATTGTAGAAGAGACAGTCAGATAATGGACATCCTCTGTCCGGTGGTCATGTAATGCACCTCTTTTCGGTAATCAATGTTGTCAATCGTTATCTTTTGCCCAGGAGATGGTGGACTTGGCTGCAGTTTTGTAACATGAAGTTGAACAGTTGGGTCTGGTTTATCTGGTGGATTTTCTGGGTCATCAGTGTCGCCATGCTGGCTCTCTGTCTCAGAATCACTATCACTACTATCACTGCTATCACTTGCTGTATCCAAGATGTTGTCACTGATGCTATCTTCATTTGTTACAACATTGGCATTGGATGCAAGCCAGTGCATGTCTTTAGCCAATATTGCTTTGACAGATGCATCATAATTCTTGCCAAATTCATCAAGTTTATGGTACAGATGGACATGGGACACCACCAGTCTCAACACTTTGAATCGGGCCATTGTGTACTGCAAATTAACACAGTAAAATATAAAATACTAGTAATATAAAATACAAGGTAAATAAATACCCACGACGTTTATCAACACCTACTGGAGGTGAATATTGATATTGCTAAGTAAATAAAAAAAATAAATAAATAAATTAAATGTAAAACTAAAAAATATTTTACTGCCTCCCAACATTTACCTCTATGACAATAATGCATGTGTATTTACTAATACTTACTGTCCAACTAGAATGATACAGAAGTATACTCAACAAGAGTTGAATGGCATTCAAACGAGACGATCTATTTCTTAGCAGAACTGCAGCAGCCATTCCGATTGTTGGCATCCATTCATCTGGTCTGTTGGCATTTCTGTTGTTGACACAAGCAGCATGCAGTATGGCTTTAAGAAACAGTGCTCTATTCTCCATTTCGTTGTTCAGCTTCTGAAAAGAGAAGCTCTGGAGTTGATCTTTAGATGGGGATCGCAAACAGCTAGGTCGCTTTCGCGAGCACATTGCATGACATTCTTTGTCAACTTGTTTGAGTGCCAGTACTTGTAGGTATTTACGGAGTTTGGGGTTCTGCCATGACGCTCTTGCAATTTGTTTGTAAGTTCCTCGAACGAGCATTTTGCCCAGACCTTCCAGGTCTTTATTTAAAGTTCTCTCTCGTGTTTCACTTGGCCATTGCACCTTAACGCTAACAGGAACAGCCGACTGTCGATGCTGTTCTTCGTACAACGCTCGTTTCCTTGGCGTAGAATGAAGTGGGACGTTTGACACAGGGGTTGTAGAATGACAACTACTTGCATTAAATGTCCTTATTGGAGAAACAGGGATCGGAGAAGTCGAAATGTCGACACGGCAAAGCTTTGAACTTGTCGGCCCATCACCATCACTATCAGCTAGCCTGTGCGCATCCTGTACTACGTATGTATCAGTAGGTTTTGAAGACTCCGATTGAACGACCTGATCGTGCTGTCCACACAAACTTGTCAACTTCTTTATGTCATCTAAAATTTTGGCCTGCTGCTCCAGTAAACCTTTCCACTTCTTCAGCTTTTGTAGGCACGTTTTACAAACATGTGCAGAACATAATATGACGAACGAGAAAGGTAAATTCGATAATAGTTCCCGCACGTTAAGTTGTCCTTTTCTTCCGTCAATCAAGTAACGCTGTGTGGCAACGGGTATACTTTGATGACAAATAGTGCAGGTCATTCCAAACAGTATTAAACATACATTATTCATAGGCATCATCTAACCCGCGGCTTCCCGCCATGTTGAAATCTTTTGGAAGATGTGATCACAGATTGGTCATAATAGCCAGTTCTAACTTCTAAACCGGTTATTGGAAACAACCAATCATGAATGATCAAAATAATTGAATTATCTTTGGCCAATCATAGTCTACTACTCATATCGGTGTAGCGCTGCTGGGGATCGACAAGGGATTGCGTGAGTTTTCACAGACTGTAGTACAGCGTAATACTACAGGATGTGCACAGGCTACTCAGCGCACAGCCCTGCTATGGTTACAGAATAAATGGGACACACTGCAATCCTGATAGGCCTCATTAAATTCTCAGAAAAAAATAGCAGGGTAAACTTCACGCTGTAAAACAGGCTAAGAAATTGTCATGGTTTATATGTCTCAATTACATAAAAAATCGACTTAGTGCCAGTAACAACAGGATTTTTTGTTATAGCTACAAAGAACAAAAAGTCACATGAGACAAAAAAACCAAATGAGGACGATTCTTCTCATGATTTTTTGTATGATTTTCAATCATATTTTGAATTCAGTGATCAATTTCAGTCATCAGTAAAACTATTGAAACAATTTTTATCATACATGTGCTACCTGTGCTGTAACCATGCAGATTATATTTTTTAAGTCCATCAAGCATTTATATTGTGCTAATATTCACACAATTTGTGCAGATAATACCTTAAGAGTTCTGTTGTAAGATAAAATAAATATTAAAGTTAGCTGAAAGAGCAAAAAAAATCCCCCCCCCTGGGCACATTAGCAGACGAAATTCTTGACTAATGTACCAAAATTCCTAGATTTGCCCTTTTATTTATGACATTTATGGTAGGTTCAGGAGATAAGTAATGCAAACAGATTAATTTGTCAGTAAACTTTACTTATGGTGGTATTAAATATATTTGAACAGAAGACCATATTATTAATATTATGTGTAAAGCAAATAATAAAAATGGCAATTAGCACCTGACTATTTTATGGACTGTAGGTCTTGATCATTGTGAGAAATGTTATGTTGTTTTGCTTTAATATAATTAGGGTTAGCTGCAGTGTAAGTTCATTTATGCCATGTGGCAAATAATATTGTCTGTACATTGTAGTTGAGATGTTAATAGGAAGATGTTCAGATTTTTATTTGTATAAATTATAACCATTACAAAGAGAGGAGAGATACAGTCAATTAAAACTAATTCAAACATGGTCCATCAAACCGGATGTCGTCAAATCTAAAAGTATTATAACAGAGAATATTGGATTTGAGTCTGTGGAATATCAAAATATTTCGGGTTGAGTCTTGAATTTGAACAAAGTCTGAACCAGAACATGAGTAGTTATTTGGTTATTTACAAGGACTGACGATGTTATCTTCTATTCTGAGTACTGTAAAAGTAAAAAACCCAGTATGTCTGCTAGAGAAATACAAAAGCAGTTAATTGAAAATGACATTGTATTGTGTACAAACGTACTGTCACAGGCATCTATTAGTCGTGTTTTGACTCAAGATTTAGGGTACTTGTACAAAAAGATACGGAACATTCCAAAAGAAAGTTTAACTGACAACGCGCAAAGCTAATTGACTAACTAGCTGTATGCACTGCATGTGATCCGACCAAACTGCATTTCTTTGACGAATTCTCCGTTGTAAAAACAATGGGCAATAGGTCATATGTGAAATTCTGTGTTACGCATCTAATGCAACGTACACAGTGAACCTTTTACACAGTATATTTGGGGTCCACGTTAATATATTGCACAGGGCTTTAAACGGGATGGAACTTCTTAATTTCATTGCGGAAGCATTGCAACAAGAAGACGTTTTAGGAAACCCATTGTTAAAACAAGGAGATGATGTTGTAATGGACTACTGTGGATTTTATCATGCCCGTAATATTGAACTTGTACTTAGGGATTTGTGGCAGTTGAATGGTATCACTCTACTTTATCAGCCACCTTATCATCCTGTTATTAATACGTGCAAGTTTTGCTTCATATTTCTAAAGAGCTGGTTGTGAAAGAACACAGAACTTGCCAAGCACCATACAGAAGTGGCAATTTATGATGGTCTAAGTAGAATTACTCCAGCAATGTCAAGAAATTTTTTTAGGCACTGTGGTTATATTGAACAACTAGAAATACATGCATGCAGTAACCCCTCGCTATTTCAAACCAAGTACACAATTTCCTGAGTTAACCTGACCTAAACTTATATTATGAAATGACACAAAACTCAAATCAGTCTTATTATATTTTATATACCAAGTATATTATAGCTAATGTTTCCATCATTCAATACAAAAATAATCATAAAGCTAGTGTAAATATTGCCCGTTTAATTTTGCAGCATTATACCTTGCCAGCAATTAAGTAACGGTTTAATATCGAAGTTTCAAACGATTAAAACAGTACAAAATCTTCACAGACAAAGAAATTACACTTTGAAAAACACTTTTTGAAGTTAAAGCAAAGGTGTAAGAGCCTTTCACAGGTTTATGTGTTTGCATAAAAAGCTGAAAATTTAACAAATAAACAGCATACAAAGCTGAAAAGTATACAAATACGGCTCATTCTTACCGCGAAACAAATACGAAATAAACAAAGTAAACACGTACCCTTTGTCTTTGAAAACATTTATAAGCATGCAGATTATGAATTATTCCTCTTACACTGCTTTTTTTTTACTGTATCCACGTTCATCTTTGCTATCTGTCATGCTTCATATATCTTGTTTCTTCTTGTTTTACTTTCTTTGCACAAAGTTTATGAAACGCTTTTACAAAAATGTTTACGAAATGACAGTTAAATTGCTGACGTTCTCATTGAAATACAAACTTTCTATCTTAGCCAATCAGAACGTTCGTTGATTACCAGTCTACACACGTTCGCATTCCGCGCATGCGCACAAGTACCATGACCATTGAACGTCCATGGTCCAAATTTAGGCGACTTTGGATTCCGCTATGTTCTCCCGGGTCCCGGGTGTAATTCCTAATCTCCGGGCGGAATTAGTACCCTCGCACGGTGCTCCGCACCGGCTCGGGGATAAAGTCCCTACATTACTGTAGTTAATTCCTAGAATTGTACATAGTTGATATTTTTGGCAAGCTTACTGTAAAAATAGTAAAAAACATTTGTAAATATATATATAATGTGAAATTTGTAGCATGTATGCACTACATATATGGTAAATAATAATTGAGAAATAAATTTATTGTAAATAACATTGAGACAAAAAAATTCACATGTAGCATTGACCATTGTAATAAATATGACACTACAATTATTTGCAATATATAGACTACCAAATATATGAAAACAATTTCAGCACTTTTGAAATTGTTATCACAGTTCTTTCAGCTCTTTTCAAAGTAAATATCCATCACATAAAACACAACTTCAAACTAAATCTTACTGTAACAAATAACTTTAATACATGCAGGTTTCATAAGACTATAAATTTATGTCTTTGTGGAAATTTATGAAATTTTGTGGATCCACAATATCAAATCCATCAACACGTTCCATAATAGCAGTCATTAAGTCTCCAGAGATATCATATCCACAGAGATGGACTGATGAGGAACTTGCTGATTTGGTTCAACATATTTGCTTATTTTGGGACAAAGCAAATACCGACAAGTGGCCTACATTAAAAGACCGTCCCGAACAGGTTGGTGCTTTCTAGTTCACTATGGATATTTTGGCAGTTTTTTTTGTCAGTCTCAGAATATCCTGATTGTTGAAACAATGAAAATTACATAAAATAAGAGCAAAAATGCAAAGGATGGGAAGTGCCCTTTTTGGAGATGGAAATGTCCTTTTTACCAACACTATAGGTACATTGATTGAAAGATAGATGCAAGGCAAAAAAGAAAAAAAGAATTTGGTCGCGGTTATTCAGAGAAAAATTCTGAAATTTTTTGACAATATCGACAAGGAAGGGGGGAGGGGTGTGAATTTTTGATGTAATCAAAATAATCACTTAAATTCCTGCATACCAGTATAGAAAGTCAGCCTCTCCAAGCCTGTCCCCTCCCCCTAATTTAATTTGCTTCTTACATCCCGGATATGACATGTATGTATCATACATGTTGCCTGCAATACAAAATTTTGTTTTTAGTTTGTCTAATATACTTACTACTCTATCATAGGTGCTGCTTGTTGCTGCTACGGTGATAAAGCATTTACCAAAAAAGTTCAAGACTTCATCAGAAGCTTGAGGCAGCTTTCGATATTCACTATGTAAATTCCAAAGCATTGAATGAAGACATCTCCATGTTTGGTTTCCATTCAAGAAGTTCTGCAAGCAAATATGATATAACTGACAC